AAAAAAAAAAAAAAAAAAAAGAAAAGAAAGAAAGAAAGAAACGACACAAATGATTCACTTGTTTCAAGTTGTTGCTCCCATAAAACTATGTATCGTAAAAACGATGGTGTTAGCAAGGGGGTGCATTGGCACTACTACTCTCTACGTTCTACGATAACATCGATGGTATACAGAAAGCGGAATAACAAGTCGTGTAATGGTTCTCGTTAAAAGCATCGATTTCGATGCTCGGTGCGCTCGATAATGGTTGCTCCTTTACGTTTCATTTTTCACTGACAATGGCAAAGTCCATTTCGACGAGTCTCTTCTCGAGATTATCGAAAAGAAAAGAAAGAAAAGAGAAAGAGAAAGAGAAAAAGAGGAACAGAAAGATTCAAAGGGGGATAAAGGGCAGAAACCACAAACACGGGAAGGGTGTAACACCGATTATTTGGGATCGAGAAATTTAAGAAATTTTTAGGCCTACCCCACAGAATACATTTCTTAAGACCTGGAATACGAAAAATCATATAATCTGTGACAATGTAGCGTTGCTTTCTTGTACGCTTGACTTATGTCTACGGTGTGATTTAGGAAGTGGAAAAGGGCTTGACAGTTGTTGTTCTACATTCTATCGTATCGATTAATCTGAAATTCTTATTGAATTTCATTGATTTCAAGAGTCACAGCAAATCGTGCGTGTCTTGCTAAGTTAGCTCTAGAATTCTCTATACTACGTAATACTACTATAAAAATAGTGGACTTGTTGAACGATCTATGCACATGTATGAAATTTAAAACTTTTTAAATTCTATTGAATTCCTTTCAATCGTATATTGTAAACAGACTGCGGATTCTTATGCATTTGCAAGGAAATATCAAGCGCGAAAAACATATTACGTAAAACACCTTTATACAATAAAACTTTGTGAAATGTTTCCTATAATATTTAAAACAATATTTTTTACTTTTCCTAGGTCCTATATTCTCAAAAGAATCCACAGTCTAATTACAAAGTGCGCAATAAATCGTCGTTCAACAATCATTTAACGCAGTAACGAGAGAGACGGAGAGGGGAGGGGTCTCCTCTCCCTTTCTCTCTCTCAAACCACTACTAATTCACAGCAAACTTTTCACAGCACATGGTAAGTTGTCTCAGCTGCTCGATACACTGTCTATCTTCTCTACCTTGTCTAAACGCGCGTTACTATCGTCATCGTTACTCTGTTTCTGAACATCCGTCACCGCGCGTGTAATGTACAGAGTATGTACTCTACGAAACGTTGTGATACGTATACTCGGGCCGGACAAGAAGGGAGGCAGAGAAGAAAAGAATACAGGACTTGAGAACAGATCCTCAGAGCGTGTGTGTCCTCAACGAGGTAAGAGGATTAGAAAAGAAAGAAGACAATCGAAGAAGAGAGAAGAAGAAGAAGAAGAAGAAGAAGAAGAAGAAGGAAGGGAACGAATCGAAGCTTTAAGCGCATAGTCACCTTTGTGATGCGGTTGTTGCGACTCGGATATCGTCTCCGGGTGCTTCTGCCTCCACTGGATCTGCGCGGCGATCCTCCTCGGCGGCATCGGCGCTGCGGGCATCGGCTCGGCAGGCATCGGCCCGGCAGG